AAGTGGTAATAGGCCGGCCATATAGCTCGAAGAACCGATAACCGATGGGGAAGAAAGGTTCTCGAGTGGCAGCCTCGTACCGGTAGGCGTAGTGTAGGGCGGCCCCCCACTAGATGGTACGATGAGTGACGACCTGGTAAGACATGCAGGAAGTCGATGGATGCAGGTGGCTCAGGACCGTGCTTTGTGGCATTACTTGGGGGAGGCCTATGTTCAGCAGTGGACTTGTGAAGGGCTGTAATGATGATGATGATGATGATGATGAAATGATTTAAAAAATTATTCTTATCATTCTCAAGTGAATAAAATAGCGGTAGTAATGGTGGACAATGAGCGCAGTTATAGAGATATTGTGATTCAACGAAAACGTAATAAGTCTAGAACGTATTGAGGAAACTCATCACCTGAGGTCTTGCAAAATCCTTTGATATTTTGGCAAGGCGAAGATGGTTACCATTTTAATATTCAGCAAATTGATTTGTATGATTGATTTGAATTGTACGCACCAGAACACAAGACAGTAAATGTAGTGTATAAGGATGTATTGTACATGACTATCTGTAAAGTATTTTTGTAAAAATATGTATGTAAGAAAAAATACCAAGGAAAATCATGTTTTTAATTAAAAAAAAATTCTAATCTCTAAATTAATTTCCAACAATCTGCACAATCGATAAAAGGTAGAATGAGAGAATGCACCACCGTAAACTTGGTTTTGAAAGGTAAGAAATTTGTAAGACTATAAAGGGTACGCAAGGTAGCAACAACTTACTTCAGAGATCTGCAATTTCCAGGTCATAGTTTTATCCACATACAAGTCAGTCAGTTTAACAGTGGTAGAGCCACGCGGCAGCTTTGCTGTCGCACGTATGGGCCGGCTCAAGCCGGGGTGGTACCACGACCTCACAGAATACCGGCGTGAAGTGGAAGCTCTGTTTCCGCGTTTCGTCTGGTGAGTGCAGGTGGCCGGAGGCCCAAATCCCCCCCCCCATCAACATGGTAGCGGAATTAAATGATAGACTACCCCAGGAGGGTACCAGCACCCCTGGAGAATCCCTCGCTGAGCATCCACGACCATGTTTCTCCACTTCTGAGCGTGGGTGCTCAGGCTGCCCCGCGTATTCTGGGGGGGGGCAATATTCCGCTCAAGACTAAAACTGCTCGGGGCAAACGGAGCAACAAGACCAAGGCGACCCCTGCCACGCTGTCCGTGAATTTCTGCAATATCAGGGGACTTCACTCTAACCTAAACGCCGTCCACTACCATCTCGAGACGGCGAGGCCGGCTCTGCTCTTTCTGACCGAGACGCAGGTGTCCTCTCCGGCTGATGTCTCGTATCTCTCCTGCCCGGGGTACAAACTGGAACACTCCTTTGTGCCTCGGGCTGGAGTTTGCGTTTACGTCAGAGAGGACATCTGTTCTCGACGCCTCGGCAGACTTGAAGGTTCGGACCTGTCCATCCTTTGGCTACGCGTAGACAGCGACGACCATCCGCGCATCTACGGGTGCCTCTATAGGTCCCATAGCGGTAATGCCGAAACAGACCGACTCTTCGACCACGTCCAAATGGCTGCAGATTCGTTGCTACAGCAGATCCCCTCCGCAGAGATCGTGATCCTCGGCGACTTTAACGCCCATCACGCCGAATGGCTCGGTTCACGTTTAACCGATCATGCGGGGAGATCTGTTCATGATTTTGCCTTGGCATATGGTCTGACACAACTGGTTACTTCGCCTACGCGGATTCCAGATGTGGAGGATCATGCACCTTCCCTGTTGGACCTTCTGCTGACCTCTCACCCGGACGGATATCAGATTTCCGTCGACGCCCCTTTAGGCTCCTCGGACCATTGTCTTGTCCGGAGTGTGGTGCCACTCACGCTGAAATCGCGGTTGCATTCTGCAGGCTGCCGCCGTGTTTGGCACTATAGGTCAGCCGATTGGGATGGGATGCGGTCTTTCTTTGCATCCTACCCTTGGGGGCGGGTTTGCTTCTCGCCGGATGATCCCAACGTTGTTGCGGATTCTGTCGCTGATGTGGTACTTCAGGGTATGGAACTTTTTATTCCTTCCTCTGTGGTGCCCATTGGAGGCAAATCTCAGCCATGGTTTGGTCGCTCCTGTAAAATAGCATCATGCTATAAGCAGGAGTGCTACCGAGCCTGGGCTGACGCTTCAGCGTCCAGGGATGTAAACACCAGCGCTCTAAAAAAGAAGTATAATTCCGCCTCTAGGTCCTTCAAAAGAGTCATTGCCAAGGCAAAGTCAGAGCACATAGGCAGAATTGGCGAGAGACTAGTTCGTCTTCCTTCTGGAACCCGTGCATTCTGGTCTCTCGCCAAGGCTGTCCAGGGGAATTTCGGTCAGCCATCTCTTCCATCTCTGCACAGGGAGGACGACTCACTGGCCCACACCGCAAAGGAGAAAGCCGATCTTCTAGGCTCTTTCTTTGCGTCTAACTCGACTCTCGATGACGGGGGGAGTACGCCGCCGACCATCCCGCGGTGTGAGTGCTCCATGCCGGAAGTGCAGTTCACTCAGCGCTCGGTTCGCAAAGCACTCCTCTCCCTGGACATCTATAAGTCGAGTGGGCCTGATGGAATCCCCCCAATTGTGCTGAGGACGTGTGCTCCAGAGTTGGCACCGGTTTTAACGCGTCTTTTCCGGTACTCCTACTCCCTAGGCGTAGTCCCAAAATCATGGAAGACGGCTTTCGTCCACCCGATCCCTAAAAAAGGCGACCGCTCAGACCCGTCCAACTACCGGCCTATCGCCATCACCTCCTTGTTCTCCAAAACAATGGAGTCCATTGTAAACTGCCAGCTCATGAGGTACCTTGAGGATCACCAGCTGATTAGTGACCGCCAATACGGTTTTCGCCGTGGTAGGTCAGCTGGTGATCTTCTGGTCTACCTAACTCACAGATGGGCGGAGGCAGTAGAGTCCAAGGGGGAGGCATTGGCCGTTAGTTTGGACATTGCGAAGGCCTTCGATCGGGTTTGGCACAAAGCGCTTCTTTCGAAGCTCCCTTCCTATGGGCTTCCCGAGAAATTGTGCAATTGGATCACCAGTTTTCTTGCAGATCGGAGCATCAAGGTCGTTGTAGACGGTGCAAGCTCCGATTGCAAGCTTATTAATGCTGGTGTTCCACAGGGCTGCGTGCTATCGCCAACGCTGTTTCTTCTGCATATCAATGATATGTTGCAAACCCGTAGCATTCATTGCTATGCAGATGACAGCACTGGTGATGCTCTTTACACCGGCCGAGCCAATATTTCTCGGGAAAACGTCTCTGAGTGCCGGGACAAACTTGTGTCTTGTGTCTGCTGGACAGAGTCTCGGATTGGGGGCGACTAAATCTAGTCCAGTTTAACCCCCAGAAGACACAAGTTTGCGCGTTAACCGCTAAAAAGAACCCCTTTGTCGTATCCCCTCAGTTTCAAGGCACTCCCCTTGTTGCCTCAGCCAGTATCGGAATCCTTGGCGTCGACATATCGAGTGACGTGCAGTTTCGTGGTCACTTGGAAGGGAAGGCCAAATTGGCCTCTAAAAAAGCTTGGCGTGCTCAGCAGAGCGGGACAGTATTTCATGCCGGCACACCGCCTGCAACTTTACAAGGCGCAGGTTCGGCCGCTCATGGAATACTGTTCCCATCTCTGGGCTGGGGCTCCCCAGTACCAGCTCCTTCCACTTGACCGCATCCAGCGCAGAGCGGCTCGAATCGTCGACGACCGAGTGCTTTCCGATCGGCTCGACTCACTGGCGCTGCGAAGAGATGTTGCATCTCTTTGCGTATTTTATCGCATCTATCACGGGGAGTGCTCTGAGGAATTGTTCGGATTAATCCCAGCCGCCAAATTTCGTGAACGCACTACACGGCAAACGTCCCGATACCATCCACACCATCTGGATGCTTGGCGGTCCACCACTGTACGTTTCAAAAGGAGTTTTCTTCCGCGTACAACCTCTCTGTGGAATAATTTACCACCGGTGATTTTTCCGGACCGATACGACCTGGGGACCTTCAAGAAAAGAGCTTACTCCTTTCTAAAGGGCCGGCAACGCACCTGCAATTCCCCTGGTGTTGCGGTTGATCATGGGCGGCGGTAGTCACTTAACATCAGGTGAGCCACATGCTCGTTTGCCCCCTCTTCTATAAAAAAAAAAAAAAAAAAAAAAAGTCAAGATTTTTTATGGAATCAAAGTTCCATTATAAATTACAGGAGAGAGATTTCATTACATTCCATCGTAGTTCTCAAGGATGACAAAGCATCTGGTTTTGGTTATTAACCCAGGATAAATGTAGATGTCTATGGGCAACAGCATCCATTTACCATTTACCACTTATTAGGTGGACTGTGTGTTTGTGAGTCACCATTATTCTATATAAAAAAGGTCCCGGGTCTTTGATGATTACCCTAAATCTAAATAACGCCATATTATAAGATCCTACATAGGCAAAGTTAGGGCGGGTCATTAGTCATAAATATATTTTTTAATGCTGCAGTTATATTGGTAGTATAGTTGTAGCACGAATGGTTCGGCTCGACTGGGGAAGGACGACACTCTCTTAGAATACCGGCGTAAAATAGCAGCTTAATGCTGCTGTGTTTTGTATGGTGAGTGTAGAGAACCGGAGACCATTTTTACTGGAAACGAGGCATTCCACCTAAGTCCTCACGGATGACAACGCATCTGCATTTTGATTCGTAATCGAGGATAGATGTAGATGTCTATGGGCCAGCAACCACTTACCATCAGATGGGCTGTGTGCTCGTTTGTCATCCTATCCTATAAAAAAATACAATATTTCCCCTTTCAACTACCTTCACAAAGTTTTAAATATTTGAATGCCAGCACATTTGTTACTCTAACAACGAACATGGTTTTTGATGATTATCTTAAATAAATGCCACATTATTAAATAAATAATTTTCCTTTCCAACTACCCTCACAAAAAGTTTTAAATATATGAAGACTAACAACGAAGCACACATACTTGGAAGCTTCCAGTGGTACCAGCTCCCGTTCGATGACACTTGAAGGTGAAGTTATCCTTAGGGTTGGCGGGGTTCACGTACTGAATGGCCACACGGCCCTCCACACTGCCAAGAGCAAACCCAGTTGGCTGCTTGGTCTTCTTATCTCGGAAGATCGCGATGCAGCGGTGCTGGTACTTGAGCGGAGACTCCACGCGTTTAAACTCCGCCGGCTTGCCTTCCAGCGTGTACAGGCAGATACCACGGTCTGCTGTACCCACCACCGCCATTGGATAGTCCTAGGTTCACAGTTTTCATTTGAATACATCTTTAAATTTGCTTCCATATGGGAGGCAATTCAGAAAACCGATGATAACAAAATCGGGGGATACAGTTTGGTGTTGCAGTTACATATCTGGTATCTACATCCAAAATTTAATTATACCACTGAGGGATCAAAGAATTCGTTAAGTGACGCGTTGCCATTTTGAGGTCGTTTCGTCGTAGGTGTACGACGTGATTCACGTGATACCCACGGCTGTGTCCACGATACAGTCACAGCCCCATTTTAGTCTTTTTTTTGTATGTGCAGCATTCTAGGCCGCGGATACAATTCCCTTTCACCTTCATCATTCAAGTATTGTGACACAATACACATGGGTTGTGCAGCAGTTTATCACCCAGTTGCCCCATAGCAACATGCATTTATATCATCAGTAGTACAATTTGAAGAGAATCACATAAAGAAATTAGTTGCAATAGTTTTCGGTGCGCACGCGCCGATTCCTCCTGGACTATATGTTCAGCAGTGGAGAGTTCGCTAGGCTGTAACAGTAACGGTACTAATGAGTATCATATCAGCAAAACTCACCACATCGGCGCAGTAACAACGTTCGGAGAGGTTCATCGTCATCACAGGCACCGCGCTGCGTGTGTCCCAAAACTGCAAACATTAACATTTACAATCAAACGTTAGAATAAAAATAAATAAAACCTACGGCGTAAAAAGTTTAGTGAAAAGAGAAAAGTTTTATATGCTATGTCACTTGTACAAGTGAGACGACCCCTGTAGGTTGAGCTCCAACAAGCCACTTAGGCTGCAGATACAGATATCAAACAAATAGACGTACATACATACACTCGAAATACTTTACCTTCCTTCAGTGCCAGTGGGCTAAAAAGAAGTACTACATCACCTTACTTGTACAAACATCGGTATGCATGCAATTTGAGCTGTAGATGAAAAATCTTTTACATACATAAATTGCAAAAGGATAAACATCCAGATCTGCAACAATTATTTGTAGGCCATACAAATACTCGTGTATCAGATTCATCAGATTCGAACGCGGCTCTGAACACCGCAACTCCGCGGCCACGGAGCCATCGTTTTTGTGTCAACTAATCACCCCTATCAACTTTGAAAAAAAAAAACTTTATGGATTTTATCGCGTTTAATTGAAATTATTTAACTTATTTTTAATTTCCGTCGTTACGGGTGCTTTACACCACCAATGGCCACACGGGACTGAGGTGTTTGATGTCCCTATGTATCCATAGTAAGCCCAGCTGCCTTAAGCTTTGTATGAACGAGGGGAATTAATAATAAGTTAAATAATTTAAATTAAACATGATAAAATCTTTAATGATGGTTTTATTCAACGTTCAGCGTTTATGTGAATTGAAGGCATCACTATCAAATTATCATTTGTTGAATCTAAGTTACGATTTTTTTTTTGTTTAAAGAAACACAATAACAGTGTTTCCCATTGGTGGCTCGCGATCGGGTTTTCTGAGCAGGAAATTAAAATACCGGGTGTCAGTTATCTCCCTTGTTTTATCCGCCTAGGCTTCGCACGGATGATTTTTGGATCTCGACGACATAATATGCATGTATAATACATATGAACTTTCTCTTGAATCATTCTGTCTATTTATGAAAACTACTTCAAAATCTGTTGCATAGTTTAAAAGATCAAAACGTACAGACGGCGTTAAGCGACTTTGTTTTATGCTATGTAAAGATTTTATTCATAATCTTAAAGAATAAAGATGTAATGATTTCTTAAATTTATGCGAACACTACACATTGAATAAAACTATTATTTACGGATTCTATCGCGTTTAATTAAACTTTAATTTATTTTTATTATCCCGACGTTTCGGGTGCTTTACAGCACCCGTGGTCACGGGGGGACTGAGATGTTTGAATATTAATTTTCGGTCCGATTTACGCAAAATGAGCTTATAGTATCATGAAGTCTTGCAGTGGTATGCTTGGGTTTGGGTTTAATTTTTTAAATTATAGGATCCCAAGGAGCTGGCAGTACCCATCCATCTTCTCTATTGAAATTTGGATGTTTTTTAATTTCAATAGCCTCGCGTATCATCCTTGGTAGGAATCGGTGTTCTTTTGCGCGGATTTGTGGTTTATCAAATCTAATGTAATGGTGGGGACGATCTTGAACATGTTCGCAGACTGCAGACTTCCCGGAGCGTCGGTGCTTCACGTCAGCTATATGTTCTTTCACGCGGGTTTTAATAGATCTTTTTGTTTGACCTATGTAAGAGAGACCACATTCATAATCTAGCTTGTACACACCTGCATCTTGTAGAGGAATATTGCATTTGAAGGATGGTAAAAATTGACTAATCTTCTTGTAGGTAAGGAAGATTTGGACGCTATACGTCAAGATATTTCGTCCTTGTTACGTCGTAGTTCAGTGCCGAAACCAAACCTTCCTAAAGACGAATTTACAGCGTTGATTAACTTACGGAACAGACCAGAGCTAACGATTCTCCGAGCTGATAAAGGAAATGCTACGGTAATAATGGACACGTCGGAATATAATTTTAAAATACAACAACTTTTACGAAAGTACATATAAAAAGGTCAAAACAGACCCCACAACTAGAATGCTTAAAAATAATAAAGAAATTCTCCGAAACTCCGAAAAATTAAATCTCGACGTGAATTCGCTAATACCACCATGTACCAAACCACCGAGGTTGTATGGGTTACCGAAGATACACAAACCAAACGCTCCACTACGTCCCATAGTGAGCCAGATCGATTCAAAAACTTACAAGCTGGCACAATACTTAACAAAAATACAATCACCACTGAGAGGACATACCAGAGCACACACAAATGATTCATACCATTTTGTGAGTGAGATAAAAAACCTACATCTTGCTGACAATGTAACTATGGTCAGTTTTGATGTTCAGTCACTATTTACATGCCTACCTATTGTGGACTGCATCTCAATTGTAACTAGGAAGCTAGAAGAAAATTACATGCCTCAAGAATATGCAATATTACTTGAACACTGCCTCAAATCTGGCTATCTATTGTGGAAGGAGGAGTTCTACAAGCAAGTACATGGTGTGGCGATGGGCTCACCTGTCTCTCCCATAGTCGCCGACATATTCATGGAGGACTTTGAAGAGAAAGCCCTTCTTACTGCTCCTGTAAATCCAAGGTTCTACAAGCGGTACGTAGACGACACTTTCACAATTTTACCATCTGACAAAGTAACAGCATTTTTAGACCACCTTAACTCCATAAACTCTAAAATACAATTCACAATGGAGTTAGAGGCAAATAATTCTTTAGCCTTCCTAGATGTTTTAGTCATCCGAAATCCTGATAGCACTATTGGGCACACTGTGTATAGAAAAAAGACCTGTAGCGGCGCTGTCGTCGCGCCACAAGCGAAATACACCGAAGCTTAAATCACGCTATCAACATTCCGAATCATAGACAGTATATATAGAACTTCTCCGAACTATCACTCGGAGTGTAGGCCGCTCCCCGGGCAGAACACCTTGCCCGGCGGGAGATCTCCCCTTTTCCTTTCCTACTCCGGCCACAGTGGTGACCCCGACGTGATTTGAACACGCAACCAAACAACCTTCGGAAACTTCAAGCTTCATCATCGTCATAGAATACCCCACCCATTCGCTCCCGAGCAGATATAAACTGCAGTCTTCATATCCTGCAAGCCATCTAGCTTCACAAGGTTCATCGCAGCACTGGAATAATAATGCTTCCTGTTCCTTCAAGCTACTCTCTGCGCTATACAGTGTTCGGCACGGCTCTGAGCCTTACTGCTCGCCTCTGCTTCACGGCACTCTCGCAGATTACTTGCCTTCTTCTCGACTCACCGCAGACTACAAGGCAATCTCCTGGTACTTGCACATTCGTCGGCAACAAGGCTCCACTATCGACCTCCGGTCTGAGCAGGGGGGTGATGTAGCGGCGCTGTCGTCGCGCCGCAAGCGAAACACACCGAAGCCTAAATCACGCTATCAAAATTCCGAATCAAAACAGTATATATAGAACTTCTCCGAACTATCACTCGGAGTGTAGGCCGCTCCCCAGGCAGAACACCTTGCCCGGCGGGAGATCTCCCCTTTTCCTTTCCTACTCCGGCCACAGACCCATACCAACCGATATCTAAATGGTGAATCTCACCATCATCCTTCACAGTTAGCTACCGTGGGTAAATCTTTGTTTCATAGAGCACGAGGGATCTGTGACAGAAAACATCCGGCCGCGGAGCTTCAGCATGTCAAGCAAGTATTGCAAGACAACAAGCTTCGGGTCCCGCGCCTACGTCACAGTGAACGAGTGAAGCCGGCCACAGTCGAGCGTGCGCCTGCTGTACTACCGTATGTTAGAGGAGTCACAGACAAGATTGGCTACATCTTGAAGCGAGCGTCCATTAAAACATACTACAAGCCGCCGAAGAAGATTAGTCAATTTTTACCGTCCATCAAATGCAATATTCCTCTACAAGATGCAGGTGTGTACAAGCTAGATTGTGAATGTGGTCTCTCTTACATAGGTCAATCATAAGATCTATTAAAATCCGCGTGAAGGAACATATAGATGACGTAAAGCACCGACGCTCCGGGAAGTCTGCAGTCTGCGAACATGTTCAAGATCGTCCCCACCATTACATTAGATTTGATAAACCACAAATCCTCGCAAAAGAACACCGATTCCTACCAAGGATGATACGCGAGGCTACTGAAATTAAAAAAACATCCAAATTTCAATAGAGAAGATGGATGGGTACTGCCAGCTGCTTAGGATCCTATAATTTACAAAATTAAACCCAAAACCAAGCATACCACTGCAAGACTTCATGATATTATAAGTTCATTTTGCGTAAATCGGACCAAAAATTAATATTCAAAAACTGAAGGTAGCCGGACTAACTATGACATTGGGACGTCAAACATCTCAGTCCCCCCGTGACCACGGGTGCTGTAAAGCACCCGAAACATCAGGATAGTAAAAATAAATTAAAGTTTAATTAAACGCGATAGAATCCGTAAATAATAGTTTTATTCAAGAATAAAGATGTGTAGCACGTTTCGTGGCTTTCGTTAGAACAGTACCCGCACCGCCAATTTTTTTCGTTCATTTTATTTAAGTGTCCATACCATAAAAAAGACCGCGTGTATTTCTTTCCATCCGATTTCAAGGCAAGAGTGAAAAGACTTTTGTTAACCTAAGACTGCGCTTCGCAATCTTCGACCGCGGCACCACATACACATCAGGTGGGATAGTAATCTAATAGTAAAAGCAATAGCTTTATAGACTGGACTGGTGGGTAAAGTGTATCATTTTTGCGATTGGAACATTTGCAACTCTTTCACTGAAATGTTCCGAAACACTGATATGTTTTGGCTCATTTGGATCATCGACTCAAAAGCTATAAAATACAGAATGTTACGAATACATTAAGTTGCGTCGCGGGCCATAATTACTGAGTCAGTGAAATGTTAAGTCAATGCTGAATGAAATAAGTGGTTAAGTTATTTATTGTGTACCGTTATAAGATTGTATATAAAATCGATCCTACTTCAAAGCGCAAGTTCGGCCTCACATGGAATACTGTTCTCATCTCTGGGCCGGGGCACCCCAGTGCCAGCTCCTTCCACTTGACCGCAACCAGCTTAGACCGGTTTGAATCGTCGACGACCGAGTTCTTTCTGATCAGCTTGATTCACTGGCGCTGCGAAGAGATGTTGCATCCCTTTGCATTTTCTATCGTATCTACCACGGGGTGTGTTCTGGGGAATTGTTCGGATTAGTTCCAGCCGCCAAATTTCACGAGCGCACATCGCGTCAAAATTCACGAAACCGTCCTCACCATCTGGATGCTCGGCGGTCCACTACTGTGCGTTTTACTAGGAGTTTTCTTCCTCCTATAACTTCTCTGTGGAATTGCTTACCACCGGCGACTTTTCCGGGCCGATACGACTTAGGGACCTTCAAGAAGGCTTACTTTTTTGTAAAAGGTCGATAACGCATCTGCGATTCCCCTGGTGTTGCGGTTGTTCATGGGCGGCGGTAGTCACTTACCTTCAGGTGAGCCGCATGCTCGTTTGCTAAGTCCCTTTTCTATAAAAAAAAACTTTATCCAGCTTAGGACTGGCGGCTAGTCCTTTATTTATGGCCAGTTGGCGTATTTAAAAATCATATATACATATTATATTTAGTCTTTTTATGATCTTTTTTCTTTTATGTTTTTACTTAAAATTGTAATTTAACAGAACTCAGTATGTTTTCGTAAACAGGCGCGAATGACCATAAACAATTTAACAAGTGCCGCATCAACGTCAAATGACAACTTGTTAATGCAAATACTACAAGCAAAAACGACCGTATAGTATTTGAATACTCGCCTAACATACATCACTTATTTAATAAACTTCAGTACAAGTCACTTCATGATTCGTTATTATAGTATTCTATGGTTTTTAACATTATGATTTCAATTGTCCGTCGTTTCATTACAATTTACAAGTATTTTTATTGACTGGAGGATAGCAGTAATTGTTAGGTTGCCATATTTAAAAAAAAATTGAATACTCAAAGCTTGCTACATATCTATTATCTATTTATCTATGGTATAGTATTTGATACGTAAGCGTATTAGTGGTCATTTTTACGTGCATGAATAACCACAGCGAAAATCCGTACGAGTTGAGTCACACTTCTCATTTGTTATCTCTTTCTGACTTATAGATTGTGATGAGGGCTAATGATCTTACGGTCACCAGATATCGATAGTTGACACTGAGGTGAAGGTTTTATTTACACAATGTCATTTAATTGATAAATTAGTTTTAAATAAAAGTTTATCAGTTTCTACAGTATTATATTAATACACAAAACAATGCCTCAGTGGTTTCTTCTTTATTTTTTTGTACATTTTTAATTTTTTTAATTTTTCTATTTTTATGAATAGTTATTGTTTGGTTTATATTTTATTAATCCTAATAATATCGAATATAACTAATGGTACAGAAAGAATCAAGAACCTTTACATTTTTCGAACAAATTAACTTCCCCACTATGAAATCCGTCAAATATTACACCTCATTGTAAAGTGGTGCCGCCCTAGTGGCAGAAAAAGTCGTGGATGCCTTCATTATTTCGCCCGCTCAGTCGCCACTCGCGAGTCAATAGTTAAGTTACTCAGTGTATCAGTCTGTCTCTCTCGCTCGCGGCTCAGCCGCCTCGTGAGTGACGCGTCGCGCGAAATGAACACAGAGCAAAGTAATATTACTGAACCAGCTGAACAGCTCTGTACTACTACACGAAGCTATGAATACTCCTGATTTGATCACCTTGCTCGGCGGGAGATCCACGGTAAAACACATGACAGTTTTGTAAGTATTGAAAACATTGAGTGATTGTTACAAGTACCTTGAGGGTTTTGTCCCAGGAGGCGGTCATAAGGCAATTGTAGTTCGGTGCTTTTATCCAATGGCAAGTCTTAACAGGAGCATCATGCGCAGCTACCTTTGAATATAAAAATATGATTTTTGTATAAGCTCATATTAGTTGTGCTATTCTAGATCCTAAATGTAACGCAGGTTTTGATATACATTATGTATATTTTTATTGTTATAAAGTTGAACAATTGGATTATTAAAAAAATAATGCAAATTATTATGTATTGTGATCTTGTTGAAATTTATATGCAACAAGTATCAGTTAAACCTGGTTGAGTAAGCGAGATATGTGCATGATAATGTTTGTAACAAATATTTAGAAATTAAAGTGTGTTGTGTTTTGTATGATCCTTACAAGTTATGTAGCTACACAGTAAATATAGATGATAAACTTTTAAGTCAATAAAATGATAAACAAAAAAAAATAAATACAAATTTTCTGCACGAACTGTAAAATAAATTTCTTTCTATATAAAACTGAAAAGATTAACATCTATTAAAAATTGTGAGTTTGTGAACTTAATCACGTTTTATTTGCAGAGAATATCAATGACAATGGATGACTGGGACAATGATTCAGGAGTTTGTTCAACTGTGTTAACAGAACCACTGTCAGATGCTTCAAAATTTTTAGTTTATATGGTTATGAAACACCAACAATTCTAATCCTAATCAATAAGGTTTTTTTCACAACTATGTCTTTAAGATTAGGAGATAAAAGAAAAAAAGAGAGAAAAAGAATTGCCAAATTAGTACATTGTACTGTATAAGAGCGGACTTACCTGTACACATTGATTAGCAGCCAGGTCCCAGCATTTGACACTTTTATCAGTAGAAGCCATGAACACCTTGGTGCCATCCTGTAGGCAATTTATAGTAGGAATATTATCAAATATTATGCAATATTAAATGCAAATTTTAAATTACAATTAAAAATAGATACCTACATCGTGCCAGGCCACGTCCAGAACCGGCCCGTCCATAGCCTGTGCTGCTTTAGGCACAGTTTTACCCGACGCCTCCACCTCCCAACATCTTACCTGGAAACAATACATATGATAGGTTAGGCAACTTATAACTTTGGCTGGCATAACCTTCTTGTTGCCCTTGTAACAAAAGATATACAGGTGCATTTTCTCATGTTAAAAAAGGGGCTACAATATGCATTGGAGAGACAAGCTAAAATGCTTATTGGCTTTTATCATAGAATGCATTTCCGAGAGTGTATGCAGTAATTATATGCAATTGTTTCCCTTTTCCCCACCGAAAAACAAAGCAATTGTTGGGTCTTCACCAATATTGTTTTTCTGTTCAATTACAATCTATAAGTCTTTAAGGCATGAATAACTGGGCTTTTGCTATGCTATGTGTCATTTACTTAACTTACTTATTCATAATTAATAATTTAATAAATATAGCACACCTCACCATGCACACACTACATACACGTACACTACACAATCACACAACTGTTTATAACTAGGATATTATTACTTACCTGTTCGTACTTTGTGCATAGCATCACTCATCTGACTACTAATTTTTTCGAGAACCTTTCAAACCTAATAAAATGGCCATATCTTTGAGCCCAGTGAAATTGGCATTAAAAGCTGGTAATATGGGCAAACCTTGATTATAACAACACAAAAGGAGCAGACGATCTTTCTGATCAAATTGCAGTTTGCACCTCTAAGAAAATATATTAAGGTAAATTGGTATATAATAAATTAGGAATAAACCTACTGTTATAGACAACTGTTGTAAAAAAAAACTGTTACGATAATAACATATTTTAGAAATGAGTTCCATAAAACTTTGAACCTTTGATTGTAAGTATTGAACAGTTGGGCCATGCATTTTGTTAATATCCACTCAAAGCCCACGGAGGATCATGGTACTAGGGTAAAGTGTTGTACCCTCACAACATAGTCAAATAAAATGTCATACAAAATTGAATTACTCATGTTATCTATTTAAAAATAGTTTCATGGAGTCCATCTTTATGAAATTATTCAATGAGATTTTGGTAGGTAAGAAAAGGTTGGTAGCACAACTCAAGCAGAAGGTCAACCGAAAAAAAAAATTGACAAATTAGTTAAAAATCTGTGATAATAATATTGTAAACTTATATCAACAATCTGTGAATGAGTTTAAACACTCCAGTATTGTGAAAAAGATGATTTAATCTAGTTTATTTAAATATTATTAAAATGGGTATATAGTCAAAGGTTTTTCATCAAATAAATATTTTTAAAGAGAAATGTCAGTTTTTGTTTTTCAAGTTAAACCTTTTTTTATAAATTAAATGTATGTAGTTTCAAATTAAATGTATACTTCTTGATTTTTAAATAGTTAAATTCCTTAATTATTCACCTCCATAACTGTATTTTTTTTTTATCGACAAGGTCGGAAGTCGTCAAATAACATTATGTTAGCCACGCGATCGCTGTCGGTTAACCGAAGGTTGGCGGCGTCGGTTCGGCGTAAAGTTATAAAACTTATATACTTACACGACAGTCCCAGCTACCGGCTACTAGGAAGGTTTGTGGAACGGATGGTGGAGAGAATTCTAGCGATGAGACTGTGTCGTCCGGTGGAGATGTTACTTCCACATCTTTGTTAGGGTTGTTGGTGCCGCCGCCGAGTTGATTAAACATGTTTTCAATGGACTATGCACCACAATTAACTTGAATGTTTTGTGGTTTAGAATATTATAATAGATACATACACAAAGTCGCAAAACTTTACCAATTATATATACATTAAAAGATCTTTATGTAGTTGACATTTATCCAGTTCTTAAATTTTGACAATCAATAAATCTCCAAATATCTAAATTTCTTGCACATAATTTAAGTTATGAATGGTTATTCGAAAATTTAGAATATAACGTTGTAATCAAAATTTAAAACTCATCAATAAATATTTTCATACAATAACCTCTTTCTTTTTCTTAGGGATGTTCGATGATCATCGATTTTCGATGATTATCTATGTTAAAAATTAAATCATCGATGTCTTAACATCGATGTTGCCACATGTCAAAAGTCGAAACATCGATATAAATGAATCCACAATCGATTATTGGAAGGTTAGTAGGTGAGAATTGGGGCTTCTGCGTCACTTGCTCTCGCTTCGCTCGAGCTACATGCAACTGAAGACTCCAATTCTTTCCAGTAGAGGTACAACATTTTTAGTTCAACCAAATTAACGTCTACATACTCACAGTTCTATCCTGCGGGACCAAGTGTACTTCCACTTCCAGTTGAGTTATTGAGCATTATATTCAGAGCGTTTGCGAGATACTGCTGGTATTGACGCATCTATATGATTAATTTCTAATAATACAACTTGTTTAGCCTAACTTCATTATAGTCAGTGCTAATATACGTTTTTTTGGATAGGTATACCTAATATAGTGTTAGATCCTATTACTTGACCGACTACAATTATCATTACCTCAATAGCAAAATCTATCGTATTAATATAAAATATCTATAATTTCTTCCATTTATGGTCAGGTGTGCGAAGCTAGACTTATGCTAATGTAATTGATAGAATCAGTCGTTACTTTGCGAAAATCCATTAAAATAAAGATATTAATTAATTTGCAACCAACCGCTAACTAAATAAAATGATGTGTCTTACCTGGATTGTAGAGCGCCTCCCGCCCTCCCTCAATTGTTTCATTATCGTTTTATTCTCATAGCGAGTGCACGTTGATATCAACGCTCGTCAAATATCATCTATATTGGTGAGTTTAATAATTTTTTTACTATTTACAAATTCAGCCGCCATTACATTTTTTTGACTTCATACTTGTTTTTGTTAATTGCAGATCATGGCCAACACTGAGGAGCACAATGATTCTAATCCCATCACCAATCCGTATTACTATGCACAGGATGTGGATAAATTTACACTAAATTATTACAACCGAAAGGAGCAGCTTCGCGATTCACCACCAAATAGAATAGCTATTAATGAAGAGCGGCCATCGAAATCAAAGAAATGTTACAGGAAGAGAAACCGTTCTCAAGAATTATCATCATCATCATACATTATCCGCCGAGATAAAGATAAACGAGGTCATCGTCTGATTAAAATCAGCATTTGCGAACTTAACGAGCAAGAAGAAAATGTCATCCACGATCTTAGTGCTAATATAAGTGTTCAATATGTTGTGGATTCAATGTATGATGAAGTGTTAGATGCTACAATTGATTTATAAAAAAATAGGTGAAAAATTATGTGAGAACTAGTAATTTAAGTAATGTAGCTTGTAAAATATAATAAAAGTTATACATTGAATTTTATTGTTGTTTTATTATGTATCATTATTATTCAATTGTGTAGAGGAAAAAAGAAAAGACATTTATTGTTACAACTGTTAGATTATTAAGTATTGTTAGGATTACTAAGTATAAATATTTCTTTGTATGACAAGTTTCTAAACGATTAATGCTCATTTTTGGGATATTCTTTTATCATATACATTATGCTATTTCCTGTATAAAAATAGTTGAGACTCAATTTTAATTCCTAACATTTAATAATTATAAAAATAACTTGTTTACTAATAATAAATATTTTACAAGTAATTATATTCACATAATTAGTCACTCAAATAAAAAAAAGTATTTATATTTTAAATGTTATTGTACTAGGGAATTAGCGAGGCAATAGGCAATATGGCGGCATTAGACTGAATAAGTGACGAAGTCTGCTTTGTTAAAATTGATTAAATAATTAAAAAGACATCCAGATCTATTCATTTTTATATTTCAGAAGTGGGATAGTCTGAATTTATCTTTCATAAAGGTTTGTTGTTGGTAAATATTCGCTCCAGCACTCGGTAAGTGGAAGAAATATGCTTATTTACAATTGTGATTTTGTATTTGGTTTGTAACGTAGTGATAATTTGTTGTGTTTATTTATATAAAAAAGAAATGTTTGTTTGTTAACAAGGCGATTTGAAGCATTATAGCATAGTGATAACGAAAGTTTATTTGTACAGTAACCATGGTGTTTTTTTTCGTGTTTCTAAAATCATGGGCCTGTATTGTTGTTGTTTAATATCATAATGGCGCTAGGCCTGTATTTATTTAGACTATTATCATGGTGTTTTTCGTGTTCATAAAATCAGTAGACTATATTGTTATTGTTGTTTTTTTTTGATTTCATGTAATAAATATTTTTTTATTAGACATTTATATGGTAACAACGAAGTTGCGTTAACTCTGTACTCAGGCGTAGTTTGCTGCGTCTAGACATGTGTCAATCATGCATGATTCGTTCGTTTGAGCTGGTACACTTAGAAGTATTGACGGTTCATTCATTTGTTTTTGAATGTACCAGTACAACCAATCACAAACAATTGACGGTACCTTTTAACCCGCGATTTGTTTGAATTGTGAATGAGCTGCAAACCGACCGAATCCCGAATGATCTGAATAAACAGGCGAATTGAATTGACAATGCAGACTGCAGAGCATAGAGTAGAGTAATATATACACAAAACACCATTACTCCTAGCGGAGACTATATACGGAAACTGCACAGTATCAGCAGTATTTATTTTTAAGGGTTTTTAATTATAATATTGTTACCTAAATTAAAAATAATTTTACATTTATTATATTTATTTGTTAAATCTATGAGTTACAAATATAATTACGTAGAGTTTACTAAAAATAACACTTCAAAAGATTTCATGATAAATGATTTATTAAATGATAATTTTCAACCATCTTATATAAATATAAGTTAGGTAAAAGTTTAATTTCGTAGCAAATAAATGTTATAATCCCTATTTTTAGACATGTAAAGTAAGATGAAACTGTGTATTGTTAGGAATGAAATTTAAGAATAAACAAATTTATTAAATATTTAAAATATATGATAACTTGAGGTTTTTGTGATTATGCCATCTAGCGTCGATAGTTCTTATCACCTTGAAAATTAATAAGTTTTAGTTCGATAAAATGACTTTATTACCTAAAGCATGTAGTAGATGGCGCTATTACAAATCTCAAATATGAAATTTTCGGTTCGCAATGGATCTCACAGACTCACAGAGTACTGGAGCCTGAAATGAACCATTTGAATGATCGATCCGAATGTACCAGTACGCGTGCCCAAATGTACTAGAATGATTCGGTCGCTAGAAATGAGTGATTTACACATGTCTAGCTGCGTCGTCTCATTGCGTAACTGAAGATTATATACACAGTAATCTATGCTGAAGATTGTGCCATTGCGCAATAAAATTTTACGCAATTGTCAACACAGGCCGTCAAAGTAAAACCTCGTGGCCAGTGAGTAAAATGGATATAAAAAAAAGGGAGGGAAAAATTGCTTATCAATTTTGTTTTTTTTTTTTCGTTTCGCAGTTTTTTTTAAATTGCAATGCAGCGCCTTATAACGAAATGGCCGAATTATATACAGCTGATGTTTTTACTAAATGGTTATAAAATCCGTTACTTTTGGTGCCAACTTAGCAAAAAAATTATCGGCTTTATAGTGCAACCGCCTTTTCTTTTTACTGAAAAGCGACAATATTGGCCGAAACGCATCAAGTAAGGGTGTAGTTTCACAAACTGACAAGTTGGTGATACTGTAAGCAACGTTGGAGTATGTTTTATGAATAGGACATTTTGGACTCTGTTTAGTGTTGTGCTGTGTGTGTTGACGATTTGATGAATTTTTGTGAATATGGATGTTAAGATTTTAATGAGGTTCCATTTCAGTTGTATAATATAATTACATAATGTAATGATTTTATTGCCATGTGATATCCTTAATGAAACATAAATATTATGTATGTGTATGTACCTAAAATTGAGAGAACATGGACTGAGATTTGATCAGTTGTATTAATAATGAAAGGCGTCGAATTTGTTTCTTATTTTCTTCATTTATGCAAAATAGTCATTAAAAATGTTGTTGCAGATATTGTAAAAGACACAAAGAAGAAGTGTTCGGTTTACGACTATATTTTTTTTTAATTATTGTAATTTTAAAATACATTGTAGATCTTACGTGTCATTTGTCACATTTATACACAATAGTTGGTATTTATATATTTACATAAAATGTCTGATCGTGGTTTAACACCCCCTTTACCAACAAAAGGAGATGGTGGTATGGATCGTGCCAAGTCGTACCGTCCGAGCCGTAAACGAAACCGTAGCGTTTCGGTCAGGTATTTTACTTCGGATTCAAATTCGTCATATACAGAATACTCGCAATCACCTACGGTGCAACGACATCGCCACCGTTGTTATCGCCGAACACCCTCTCGTGAAAAACATACTACTCGTAAACTTCGTATTGAATCTGTATCACCTGTTCAAAATCGAACGAAACGGCGGCACCGCCGGAGTATCGAACGTGAAAGCACTCCGTACTATACTTACATTGAACGGTCGCGTCGCAAATCAAAGCACTCGCACAAACAGAAAAAATACGGCGTAGCATATCTAGTCATACATCCATTGAAAGTGCAGACTCTAAGCAAGCCTCTAACAATAATTTACTTCAACAATTAGTAAGTGCACTACAAGGTAGTAATTCGCGAGTCAATGCAGCCATGCACGTGCAAGGTGCACAAAGTATTATCACGGAATTTGATCCTGGTTCTAAAACACAACACATTAAAGATTGGCTC